AAAACCAATGGAATCATATTCTAAATTGCATTGATTGAGCAAACGACTCTATTAGATCATTATATAGTTTGTGTTATATAGCACAAGCGCATATCTGCGATTATGTCATCTATCACGAGCCTCGGGGCTATGGGGCAGTGCAATTAGTTATCGGGCAGCCACTCGGGTCACCCAATTAGGCAAACATTTTGCATATCAGTTGAAAACGAGCTCAATTAAAAATGATAGTTATTTCAAATATTTCAAATTGATTAATTTACATTCCAGTTTGCATTGGGCGAACAACAGCTGGCGGCATAATCACTTGACTGAGTCATCGTCCGGTTTATTGTTATCAAGCGTAAAATTATGCAAATCTCAATTTTCAAATTAGGCAGTTTGTAGTTTTAGGCTATTGTGCGAGCTTTTCGATACAGATCTTAGACTATATTCTATGTATAATAATAATAATAAGGCAATAAATAATATATATAACTTATGTATGACTATTAAGGTCGCAGTTTGCTCTAAAATCTCAGATTTTATTGTATCCTTTTCACATAAATAATATTTTTCAATTCAAATCTTCTCTTTACTCTATTTCCTAACTGTCCTTTAACTTTCTTAATTAGCTCTCATCAAAGAAAAATGTTTTCAATTCATGTTTTATTCAGCTTCTCTATAACTTTTCTTTATCCATCGATTACTGATCTATTACTTTTATCATACATATTGATCTATATTTCCAATATCCTTATCACCGATCGATCTCATCACACAATAGTTTCATTTAATTTTTAAATATGTGTCATCGCCTTGAAACTTCGCTTTACTTACTGATCACTTTCAATATTCATCATAAAGTAAAGAATATCTAAAATGGTAAGCTTGTCTCTAAATGATCGTTTAATAGATTTGCTCCTGTTTTCATATATTAGTGCTTTACCGGCCTACAAATCAGTTTTCCATTAAGCCGAAAATATTTCTTATCCTTCTCCTCTCTTTCATATGCATATCTTCTCGTACGTTGTCTAATCATACCACCATATATCGTTTATTCCTCAACAATCAGTCAGTGCTTGAAGTGTTCATGTTCATCATCTAATCATCAGTTGGTCTTTCATCTTTTCAACTGTCTAGCCGCTAATTGTTAAATGGGGCCTGTTTGAAACACTTTATTTTTCATGTTTACGAGCGTCAGTTGGCGGGCTAATTGGAGCTTTCCTTTCACAGTGTGGCCTGGAGAATACAGTTTTGTTTTTCGTTTATAGTTTTTGTAGGCGTTGCCTCTGCAGAATTTTAATTAGCTGGAAATTTTGAAGTTTGAAGCTGGGTAACTAATATTAATTCCGTAGAAACTGACTTGTTGATTGCGTCGGTTGTTCACTTATCAGAGATGCCACATGCCAGATAATACAAGACATGGCAATGATGATGATTATGATGATGGTGGCGATGATGATGATGATGCAAGATGCAAGAGATATCAGTAAAGTTCTACATTCAGGAATACATTTATTTTATCTGCAAAAGTTGGCAAAAGTAGCCACTATGCATTAATTTAAATGATGACGATGATGATGATGATGCAAGAAACATCAATAAAGTTTCACATTGTTAAATAACTTCATTCTAACTACTGGGCTTTAGCTTTAATTAGGCTAATCGGGCAACTCTTGGGCGGCACGCCCTTAATTCGCATGCAAAGCGGCGACACTTGAACTTTAGTTACGAGTTCAGAGTTCCGCCGAGACTAAGACTGGGGAAATGGGGGATTGTGGGACTGGGGATTGGCCGACACACCCAGACGCCAAACAGAGCGAGGGCAACATTTTAGCCAAGAGGTAAAAGCAAAAAAAAACTAGAAACATGGGCCAAGTGCATGGTAAAAACGCATAGCTTGTCAGACAGCTAAGTGAAGAAGAATACAGGGAAGAGTCGGGGCAGTGGATGTAGACATAGACAGACGAAGCAATAAAACAGCAACAGTCAACGCTCGAGTGCATTTTCCGGGCCAACATCAGAACAACAACCACTACAACTACAACAACCAACTACCTCGACAACCCTTGAGTTGTTGCCTTTCTAGGCTAGGGCCGCAAATCAATTTGATGATATTACAACTCGTAAAGCGAGAGAAAGACGAAAAGGGAGAGAAAATATACTGTAGCTCATAATATGAATTAAAATGTACAGTGAATGCGTGGTACTGTAAACGCTCCGATCTTAAAAGTAATTGTTAATACGCACTCACTATACAACATTAATTGTAATGCTCGACTCATATATACCTTGTAACCCTGTGCTAAAACTTGTACAAATAAATGTTATTCAAATGAAGCTTCTGAAAAAATACAATTTGGATTTTAGACCGACCCAAATCACATAAAGTTTACAATTTAGGAGCATTCACTGTATTAGAACAGCTGCCAAAAGGCCAAACGTCCAATATTCCGTGTTCGTGTGAGTGCTTATGTTTGTGTGTCTGTTCGGGTTTGGGGGTTGATTGCGTGCATTTTCAGCAGCCACTGAACTTTGCTGTTATAAAAAGAACAAGCAAAATAAAGAATGACGAATAGCATGAAAGAAATGTTTAAAAAAAACTAAATTGTAAACAGAGCGCCGGTAGAGTTGAGAGCGAATGTCTTGCACTCGGTTCTTCTTCCTCTCTCTCATTTTTACGCTCTCTCTCTTTGCTGTCTACTTTATGAATGTTGTTGTGGTCAGTGTCAGGGCTGCCATTGGCAGTCGACAGGCAGCAGGTTGAATGTCAATGTGTGTGTGTAAGAGTGTATATGTGTGTATGTTGTGTGTGTGTCCACGTGTATATGAGTAATGCGTACGATTGACTGATCAAAACGGAACATGTGAAATGTGAGTAAAATGTGTCACCCACCACTCAAAAAATTACCCCGTCTCCGGCTTTTACTATCGATTTTTCAAGAGCCCGCAAAAAAAACAGTACCTAATGGATTTAGATAAAAAATATCACATGCAGAGGCTTATTAGCATCACAATGCGAAATTTGAAGGGAAGAGAGCTTTCGATGTCATCGCTAACAAAGATAACGCAGAGAACGTTGCTGCATCTTGCCAGAAGCAGCGCAACCATCACTTAAACCGGCCTTTGCCGGCAGCGACGCAGCTACGACGTCTCTGAAGAGGGTTGAGGGTTGACACAATTTTTAAATACATACACACACATCTATGCATATGTATACATATTTGTATGTATGCAAATACGTTGGCTTTGTGCTCCATTAAAAAGTTTATAAACAAATTATGTAGTTGTTTATTTAACACAAGCGCATACACTGACGCACATGTATACATACATAAGCACACACATTAGCGGAGCAAAAACAAATGTTGACGGCTGGAACTTAAATTCCATATGAGAACAAATACCGTTTATTGTTAGAGCTTTTTTAATTTTTTTTCGCTGATCTTCTCCATGCACTTTTTTCTCACTGTTTCTCACTTTGCATTTGTCACTCTGCAGAGGACCGAAACACGTTGAAGCTTTGTATTTTGCACAATTTCTTTTGCACGTTTTTTTTTGCTTTTTGTTGTTTGCCATGCATTGCCCTCAAATCGTGCTGCGGTCGCCGACGCTAGCAGCGCTGCTCTGCAATCTGACTCATAAGGAGCAGCAGAAGCAGGGGCAGCACGAGAAAGACAGAGAGAGAGAAAGAGAGAGCAGCGCACTTACAGCAAAAGAGATGGTTGGAAAGATAGACAAGGAAACATGAAGTGAGCGCAAGGAGCAACTAAGCACCCTGGTTTTTTTGTTGTTGCTGCTGTTTTCACAATATTTTTTACTTTTCGTTTTGGCTTTTCTCGAGCAACATTTTTGCTTTTGTTCGCTGTTGCTCTGATGCTTATGTTAATTTTCACACACACACACATAAATGCATGCACTGCATACACAAAAAATTATAAAATAATTTATGGCAATTTAAGCAAGCGAATCGTTCGAGTTGTTGTTTCTGGAAAATCTCTTTTACACGCTTGCAGTTTGAATGAGCTGCACAACTATTTTTTCGGTGCTACTCTTTGGTTTGCAATTCGTTTACACACACTTTACAATAGAGTTGATGTTACTCTTGTTGTTGTGCTTGATGCACTTCTACATATAGATACCGTTACACTTGTGCAATTTACAACAGCAGCACCAACAACATCGAAACAGACAACACTTACACGAATAGGCGGCCAGACCCACATACATATGCACATGTAGAAGGCGTATTTGCTACAATAAATTATAATTCACGTGCCCAAATTACCACACACACACACATACACGCACGCAATGAAAATTTCCCAGTGCAGCGAAATTTAATTCTACCGAAGTGCAATGCGAGTAACGGACCTGGCGGTAGTATTAGAGCGCGCACACACGTCCTACCGCGTTGACTTTTGAATTGAAACTGATATCGCCTATCGATTGAGCAAGTGAAATAATTCTATCCGGCGGCGATTGCACTCAGAGAGAGTGAGAGAGAGAGAGAGCGCGCACACAAAGAGTGTACAACTGTTTGTGTGAAACAGGTCCATTTGGCGCATGGTTCGACAGTGTATAAGGTTGATTGTTAGCTGTTTGCCATTAGCTATGAGTAGAGCTCATGACGTCATGTGCGTTGGCACATGAGAGGCGCCAATATTTAAATTAATTGCGAATCTTAAATGGAAAATTGGATTTCCTAAACATTGATTTGCTTCCCTTATTTTCTATTTTTGTGTATTTCTTCAATATATTTGTAACTGAAAATAAAGTTAATAAAAATATATTTTATATCTCCACAAACTTACAATACAGCGAAAAATATTCGAAATTTTAAAATGCTGCAAAACAACGGATTTATTTTGAATCAATTTATGCCGTGAGGTCGCTCGAAGAGCATCGAGTACTCAAATATATAACTATCGATAAGTTCGTATATCAATAGTCGCAATCTGCCACTATTTACATGACCATGGTAGTAACCACCAAATTCTAACCGATTAGGCCGCATTGTATTGTTTTCTATTCAAACTTTATTTAATTATCACTTCTGTATTTTAAAGAGATTAATATCATTTCAATAATTTAATGGAAAGTCAACAGCATAGCTTTGGCTACCTCATCTGCTTTGGCTGTGCCCGCGAGCTGTTCAGATATTTTTAAGGCGAACTCGTAGGCTGTGCCGGGTCCACGACTGGTTATTAAATTTCCATCATGAACGACATTTTGATCGTCCACATAGCTAATAAATATACAAATATATTAACGAAACTAATATGTATATCGATTTTGCATATAGTTACCAGTATTTATCAACCAACTGCGACTTCATAGCGGGATACGAAGTCAAGGATTTGCCAGTCGCAATGCCGTGCTTGGCTAACGCTGTAGGTGCTGCGCAGATGGCTGCGATCAGACGCCCTGCCGATTCCTGCGTACGCAGCAGTTCGCCGATGGCCTTCGAATCGCTCATGGCATTCGAGCCGCCCAGGCCGCCAGGCAAAACAATAACATCATATACCTCATCTGTAACGGCATCCTCCAATGATTTATCCGGTACAATGATCACATCACGCGAACATTTGACTGGTTCGCTGCCTTCCAGACCAGCTACCGTCACATTAATCTAAATATAAGAAAAATACACCATACTAAAAATAGACGAGCATTCGACTTTTTCACTTACGCCCGCACGGCGTAATACATCCGCCGCAATGGTGAACTCAATTTCTTCGGCACCTGGTGCCAGGATAATCAATGCCTTTTTCCCATCCATCTTATTGATAAAAGTTGACTTTGGCTGCTGTACTGCTAAACTTAATGTACTACCTTCGCGACTTCTGCCCAGCGTAAGCAAACGTAATGGCCAGCGCAGCATTGAGTACATATCGATAATATTTTAATGTGGATTCCTTATCGATGCTGAAATTATTACTCCAGCTCCAAATTTGTAGTTTCGAATTTTGACTATCGACAATCAAACCAACAAAATTTTTATAAAAATTAGAATGTTCTTTGTTAGCTTGTTGAAATTTATTGAATAATTTTCAATACCTTAAAACTAAGGCTACTTTTTAGAATCCATAACAAACCAGTAACTGGGTTCAGGGCTGACGTAATTCAGTAGATCGAATAGGTAATTCCGTATTCTCGAAGAGAAAGGCAATTGAGTGGAATAGCGAACACTCCGCTCTTTGGCAATTGTGACGTCATTTGAGTGCAGGTTCTGCACCGGGGCACTAAATTAAGTTTCAAACATTGACAATTTATCGAGTTCTAAAATGAACAAGCAAAACATTTTCTGGATGATTAAATCAGTTGTGACTCCAGTTAAGTTATGCCATGAACGAATGAACAATAATTTTGGAACTGAAACATCATTCAAATCCATTTCAAGTCATTTTAGTTAAATATATATTTATTGAACAAAAAATAGGTGTCTATGTATTTTGTTTCTTGTATGCAATCAAAAATGTTTTTGTTTTTTGTTTTCTTTTTGGTTTTACATACATACAGACATGCAAAATGTAGATTGCGAAATGTAGATTTAGTTTTTGAAATTAAAAATAAAATAATTATATAAAACCGCAAAACTTGCAAACTAATTTGAAATGTTTGGTTTTGATGTTGTCGTCGTTTGTATAAAATAGAACTTAATTGAATTAGTTGTTAGACATAAGAACTATTTGTATTGAAGCGCTTACACTAATTGTTAGACAGCTGATTTTTGTTAATTTATGTTTAAGTTTTTGTTTTTAAATTTCAATTGAATTAAATTAATTGTCCCAGATGATACACGCCAATATTAATATTGTGGAAAAAGTGTTTACGTCGTAATTTAAGTCACATTTAGAACTTGTTTGATTTGTGTTTTGTTTTGTTACGTTAGTTTTTGTTTTTTGTTTTTTATTTTTTTACTAATAACATTTAAAAAGATCACCAAAGTTACAGATTTCCCATATTTTACGTTGCTTACGTTTCTCAATTAGTTTTTTATTTTTACTTTTATTTTTATTTTTATATATTTTTCATATCAATTACGTTACGAATAATGTATTTTTGCTCATTTCTGCTTAAGATATAATTAATTATTGATTAATTACCCGGCATTTTGGTTTAAACATTTAAAGTAAAGGATTTGTTTTTTTTTTTATTTTATCTTTTTTTGTTTGGTTTTTCAAATTGATCTTTTTCAGAAGTGGGTCGTATATATATATTTATATATAGTAATGTATATATATATATATCTGAAGTGAAGTTAGTATTTGTAAGCTTCCGTTAGATAGTTTTGATACCTTTGATTTACGAGTACTTTTACTTTATTCAAGATTTTTACTAATCCAATTTCAGCTAAGGTTTGTATTTTTTAAATATCTTTTTGTTTTTTATTATTTAATTTTATTTTCTTTTTGTCTTTGCATGTTAATTTCAACGCTACGACAATTGTGGGAGGGGAGGGGTTCGTTTCTTTTTTTGTTTGGGACTAATTGGAAGAATAGAGTACAGTTATATATATATATACATATGTATATATAAATAAATTTATATATACATAAATATATAAATAAATTTATATATACATATATATATAAATAAATTTACATATATATGTTATATATCGGTAAGTAATATATAACGTATATAATTGCTGTGGAGTTAGTCCTTTACTTCGTTTTTTTTTTTGTTAATTGTGGCATAAATTTTATTTCCTTTAGGAAGAGTTGTGCAATTGCTGTTTAGCTTCGATTGATCTCTATTCTGAATACATATATATATATCTATATATATATATATATTGTATATTATTGTAGACATTTATATTGTGTGTGTGTACTTAATGCTAATATTTTAATCATTTTATCATTGAGTTTTGCAATAAACGGCACATTTATAAGTATTATTAATTATTTTTTTTGTTTTTGTTTCCTGTTTTAAAGCTCAATTAAATTTCGACACATAGAAAGTGAGATAAACATTATAGTCGGCTTTGCGGGTTTTATATGCATGGAAATCTCACAATACGCTATATATATATATATATATATATATATATATATATATATATATATATATATATATAATATATATATGTATATGTAGTATATGCGATATTGTTATAATGTTAATTGGTTTAGCTGCACGACATTTGAAGAAACCATGAAATGTGTGTGAGAGTGTGGAAAATAGATTATAAATCTTTTTCTTTTCTTTTCTTTTTTTTGCAATTAGATCAGATGACTATATATATCTGTATATTTATATATATAGTTTATGTATTTTTATAAGTTATGCCGCCAAAATCTGATTTTTGTGTCAACTGATTTGCTGTTTGAGTCTGCGTATATAGTAAGATCTAGAGATATATATATATAACTGATTATATATACATGTTAAAGCTTTAGACTTTGCTCAGTAAATGTCGTGCCTCGTCTATGGGTTTTACAAGTACAAATTACAATTACAAGGATACATTCATTGTCGGCACATAAATTGTTTTTGTTTTTCGTGTTGTTTACTGTTTTTGTTTGTTAAGCTTAAAGTACATAAAAATGTAATTGGTAATTTGTAAAATTTTTGGGGTTTTTGTTGAGAGACCCTAAAACTTAAAGAGACCCCGCAGATTTTTGTTTGTTTTGTTTGCATTGTTTCGTTTACATTGTTGCTTTTGGATGTGCTTAAAATTATAATTGATTTTTACTGTGGTTTTTGTTTTTTTTTCTTTTTGTTTTTAAGAAATAAACGTACAAATTTAATCCCTTGTGTTAAAACATGCTAAATAATTAATATTTTTTATAATAAAAAATACATTCACAAAAAAACACATATGTTACAAAGTCACTGATTTTGCAGCTGCTTTTGCACACATTGTTTTGTTTTTGTTTTCGTTTTGATTAAAAAACTAATTTGTAATAGAAAATTGTTTACTTAAACATGTTTATAATTTATGTATTTTATAATGCTCACATATATGTATTGTATGTAAATGTGTGTTGGTGTGTTTGTGTGTGTGTGTGTGTGTAGCGACACATTTAAACAGGCTTTTAAAAAAATAAAAATTGTTTTAAATAAAAACATTTTAAAAAAATTTAAATGTGCGACAAAATTGTTTAAGACAATAATTGTTATAAATAAATGGGTTGCATTGTATTTTTTGTATTGTTTTTTTTTTTTGTTTTGGTTCTATAATAGAACAAATCAGCATAATGTTAACTTGAACTGTGTCTTCCATAAAAATACATATATATTTTTGTATATATGCATATGGTATTTTGTTAGATTTGTAAAATTGGCAAATATATAGATATAAAAACTAAAACTAAAACTAAATATGCCCTATGAGTTAAGGGATGCAGCGGCAAAATTATTTTAAGAAAATATGGAATATATATATATAGATATATATATTAATATAGAGCATTGAATATGTTTAGGATATTAATTGTTTACCCGTACACCACGTAATCTGCTTAAGACTCCATTAAATACAATTAACAATGTTTCGCTTTTAAATTATGAAACTTAAGTTGAGCTAATAAGAGGTACATAAATTAGTTGGACATTGGGATTTGATATGCCGTGTTTATAGTGTGTGTTCTTGTGTGTGTGTGTGTGAAAGTGTATTGTGTATGTGTTTATACAAAACATAAACTATTTAACTAAAACTAAAACTCGCTGTTAACTAAAGACAGCAAATAAATGTTGACTTTTCGCATTGGTTTTTCCATTTTAAACGAAAACTGTTTTAAGTATTGTTTGATTTTGTGTGTTGTTTATATAATTACAATATAGTTGCCTAAATATATATGTATTTACATATACATATTATATAACTAGCCATTGATTGACCAAAAGTTTGTCCCTTGTTGAAATTGGAGTTTTCGTTAAATATGTTGGTTGTTTGCTTTTGTTTTTTTTTTTTGTTTTTGGTAGTTCCCCACTTAAGTCTACTAAAAAGCTTGCCTTTTTACAATTCTGGACTTTTGAGTTGTATTGAACTTTTCTTTTCACTTTATTTGTTATGGCTAAGTATTACACTCTCTTTAATGCTTGTCGTATTTTTGTTGTTAATTTTGTCATTTTTTGTTGATTTTGTTTTTTTTTTTTTAGTTTGTAAGCTTTTGTTGGTGGTCTTCGTTCACAGTACAGAGAATTCCAAGTTGTTATGGTTGTTGTTGTATGTGTTGTATGTGTGTGTGTTGTGTTTATGTCTGAATCAGCAACTTTTTTCTTGTTTTGATATACTAAAAACCTTTGGTTGTCTGCATTTTGTTTGTCTTCACATTTTTTTAACTTTGTTTTTTTCTTTTTTGTTTTGTGTAAAAATATAATTAATTCTATTACAAAAGTTCATCGCAAATGTGTGTTGTTGTTTCAGCTGTTTTTGTTGTTGTTGTATTTGACTTTCGTTTGTTCCCTTTAGTTTGTTTCGCTACGCTTTTTATTATAAAATTTTGTTTTTTTTTTTTGAGAATTCTCTTTCACATTTGTTGCGCCTGCTTGTGCTTAAACATTCGATTCCCTTTTGTTTTCTAATCCCTACGATTTTGGCGTGTGGGTGTTGTGTGTTTGTGTGTGTGGCCTAAAAGCTAATGTTCTGGCTTTCTTTAACTTAAATATATAAAAAACATCATTTTGAAATTATTCTCTAATGATTTCGACTTGGCTTTCGTACATATTTTTTCATATTTTGCTTATTCGAACTAAATTTCGAAATTTCAGTTTGTTGTTGGTGTTGCTGTTTTGTTGTTGTTTTTGTTGTAGTTTTGGTTTCGCTTTTTGTTTTACTGCTTAGGCAAAGTACATGACCTTTTTGGTATCGGCATGAACCGTTATGGCGCGTGCCATGGCACCGGGCGTACGATCTTCAGATGAGCCGCTTTGATGTGATCCCTCGCCAGAATCGTGCTCCTTTTCAACCAGATGGTACCTATTGGAGAATGGTATTGTATAATTTCCATAGCATTATAACATTATTTTCAGTATATAAGTGATAATTACCTGGCACGGAAAGCGACCAGATGTGCATAGTAGGCTGGCGCTGGGA